CTCAAGTTTAATACAAGGGAAATTACCCTTGGATCCTCCCTCTGATCTCCTATCAGGTGCTAAATCCTTCTGGCTTCTCTTTCATATCAACAGAGTTGTTTCCTCTCCCAATATAAACCTAGTTTAAGCCCTCTTATCATTTCATCCTTGAAACGCTGTAATAGCTTAACAGGTGTTTTCCATTCCCAATTCACCTCATCCAAATGCTGTCGGCTCAGCTGAGCATTCCTAAAGGATCACAGATTTAAAGCACATAGACATCATGGAGATAAACTAGTCCAATTCTCTCATTTTGGAGATGAAAACTTCAAGGATTAAGAAACTTGTTCCAGGCCATACTGAGAGTAAATGTAATAGCCAGCATTTGAACTCGGGTACTTGACTTTAAATACTCTGAATCTTGCATTCTGCTTTGATTAATTCCTTCCTCAAAACCCTCCATGACTAACCCTGCCTTGCTGGGTAAAGTCCAAACTCCTGGCCTGCCAGTCATGGACCTCCACAAGCATCTTTATTTCCTTTCCTTATATGTATATTGCCACCTAACTAATTTACCTGCTGTGGTTCCCCAGATATGCTTGCTCTGTGCTTTTCTACCTACATGCTTTGGTTTTGCAGTCCTGCATCTCTTCCTGTAAAAATCTACTTCCTCCTACAAGATACAGCTGAAACAGTTGGGCTTCAGCATGAAATGAAGCCTTCCCTGATCACCCTGGCTGGAAGTGGTCCCTATGCCTGGTACTAGATTTTGGCAATTAATTTACACTGACATGTACTGCAGGTGTTAAAAGGATGAGCTACATCTCTGTATTTCCCACATTACCTAACAAAGTTCTTTGTCTGTGGAAGGTACTCCAAAGTAAGTTGAATTTATAAATGCTTCAGTAATTCTTCCTTCTACACACGCTATTAATTCATCATATTCAAACTCAAAGTACGCTTATTCAAAGAATCTCTGATGTACTAAATGTATGAGTTTAGAAAAGCAAAGAATGTCCTTGCCAGTACATATTTTCATTTATTGGCAATAGAGGTTCTGAAGAATGCTCTCCCAGGTAAGTGCTCAAGTTTTTCTTGGCTTCAGTTGTCATCCCCACCTAGAAATAGAAACTTTGGGTAGGCAGGTACTTATGGTATTCAGTTACTTAAGGATTATTGCACCTCTCTCTTTTATGACGCTGCTGCTCTACAGATGCAGAAAATGCCCGAAGACATCTGGATCGAAAACACTGGAAAGATTTACTGGTATTTTCTTCATCATGGTGATCATTGTCCATAATTTTTTGTCTAAAGATGGTGATCATTATCCAAAGAATTTTTTTCTAAACACCTGCAGTATACTTCTCAGATATAAGGATGTGTCTAATCATCCTAAATATATCTGAAATCCATATTAAATTTGACAATGTATACAAATCCTGTTGTTTCACCACTCCTTCACTGTGGAAACGTCTTCAGAGGGCATCTTACCAATTTGCTGAAGGGATGGAAACAGAAAAATTTGTTTTAGTGGCTAGCTTTCATACACATATTAAGCTTCAGCACACACAAATTTGGTTTTTGTTTTTCCTCATTAGCTGTTAACTTCCTAGCCAGAGAAACATCACCTCTCATTGTTAAAACTGAATAGTTGATTCTGCACCAAAATATCAGACTGGTAAAAATTCAATTGTGATTTAATGAAAATAGGATAATGAAGCTGAAATATAATTGAGCCTTCTAAACTTAGATTAAATTTAAATTCTTACCTTCTAATATAGCTCTTTTGTAGATCTCCAGGTTAAAAGGCAAGAAAACTAGGTTCCAATTTCCTTCTCATTCCAAAACTTCTAGATTGGTACACCGTTGTTTTTTTCATGAGTCTTTTGAGCAAGCAGGACAATGAAGTTCTCTATTTCTAATCTCTATTAGAATGAAAGGAGGTGACTGCCTGTGTCCATTCCACTCCCAATTCTTAGAGGCCCATCCAGGAGAACAGGAACATGACCACCAACCTCTATATCAAAAGTCAACAAGAGGAAGCACACAAGCAAGCAAAGGCACTGACTGAATTCCCCTTTCTGTCTTTTGTAAAGACAGTAAGGGCTCCTAGAGATCAAAATGCAGCTTTTGTTTACAATGGAAACTGTTCTTTTTCTCAAAGGACAGGATGATGACACTATTCACCACTTTGACATCAAACATCTATATTACAATTTTTTTTAATGTTACTTAAGGTTGGATAATAATACAGAACACCTTACAGAGTTTTTTTCATATTTCAAAACTCAACTCACCCAAAAACATAGTTTGAATTTTTAAAGACATCCTTCCCTGCCTTTCTCCAAAAGACTTTTGGAGAGAAAATACCTTGTACTACCAGTACCTGAATTTTCCTATGCCTTAACATTACTAGAGGGATAATGACAAGGAGAAACATAATTATTAAGAGTGAGGATAGCCAGGTCCTAGACTCACTTCCACCACTAATAATGTATGACTTTAAAACAAGTTGCTTCATCTTTCTATTTCCAAAATTCTAAAACGAGGGAGAGCAGGGATTAGACTAGGTAATTTTGATATTCTATGAAATATTCTCTCTGTTTTCTCTTTAACATGCTTCTTTGGATCAGTCCTTTTATTATTCCCATTGCTATTATATCCCATTGCCATTACATAAATTTAGACTACATTTCACCTTAACCTGAGATATTTTAAAAAAGTTCTGGTGGATTTTGAATTTTGTGTCTTCTTAATGTATTCTATTCTATAGGTCTATTCTTCCTAAAATGCCACTTTTATTCACTATATCAAATGTTAAACTTTGTTTGCAAAGCTTTACAGGTTCTCCAGCTGATTTTACCTAAAGAATACAACCTTACGTTCACTATCTACCTTCTGTTATTGTCAGTCTCAACTCTTTATATACTATATTGCCACCTTCATACTTTCAGTTTCTTTATTCCTCCTGGACTCATGGGACACTAACCTTTCTCTCATCAAACATTAAACAAAATCCTGAGTCTTCAAGGTCCAAGTGAAGTCTTTATTATGCCCAGAACTTACAAAAAAGTTCACGTTAAAAAAAATACACCACTATCCTTTTACTACCTCTCTGCTGTCAGTGGCCTCACTGCTAAGGCCATAGGGGGAAGTGTGATATAGTGGAAAGGGTACTGGGAAAGTGTCAGAAGACTGAGGCTTCTTGACTTTCCAGGTTGACAACCACTTGCTGTGTAAACATGGATAAGTAACCTCACCACTCTCCAGTGAAATAATATTTGTAAAGTGCTTGGCAAAATACCTAGCATGTAGTAGGCGCTATATAAATGCTTATTTTCTTCCCTTTCCTCCATCTTTGGGATTCAGTTTCCTCATCTGTAGACTAACATCAATCATTAATATCCCACTGTGTGCAATAAACAAACTGATGCATTCAGGGAATCTGAGTTAAGAATTGGAAGAAGAGAAGCTGTGAAAATAAGAATCTTTTAGGAAAGTCTAATCTCAGGCAGTACTGATCTACCAAGTGGAAGTCGCCCAAGTGTCAAGTATCTTGTCCAACCCCACCTTCAATGCCTAGGAGTCATGCTGCACTCTTCATTATCTCTCAGCGTCCCATATCCAATGTATTGCCAAGGCCTGCTGATTTCTCCTTTGTAACACCTCTCGTTTTATGCCCTCTTCTCTCCACTGACCCTGCCACCACTCTAGAGCACATCTCCTTATCACCTCACACCTGAAATATTGCAAAAGGTTGCTGGTGGGTCTGCCTGCCTCAAGTCTCTCACAATTCCAATCAATCCTCCATTCAGTGACTTTCCTAAAGGGCAGGTCGGACCATGACATTCCCCTACTTAATAAACTCCAGTGACTTTCTATTGCTTCCAGGAATAAATATAAAATACTGTGTTTGGCATTCAAAACCCTTCATAATTTATCTCCCCCACCCCCCAGTCTTCTTACACCTTACTCCTGGTAATATATTTTTCAATCCAGTGACACTGGCCTCCTGGCTGTGAACAAGACACCTTATCTCTTGGCTCTGTGCATTTTCTCTCCAGGTCTCACATGCTTAAAACTCTCTGCCTCTTCAGCCTATTAATTTCCCTGGCTTCCTTTAAGTCCCAAATAAAATCTCATCTTCTACAGGAAGACTTTCACAACTCTTTTTAATTCTAACCTTCCTTGTGCTAATGATTTTGCTATATATCTGATGTATAGCTTGTTTGTTTGCAAACATTCGTTTGCATGTTGTCTCCCCTATCAGACTGTAAGTTCCTTGAAGGCAAAATGTTTCCCTTCTCTGCATTTTAATTGCACTTATAATCAATACAATACTATTTCAAAACTCAGTTATGTAGCATTTAATAAGTCTGTATTTCAATTCTTCAAGTACATTAAAAGATCCTATAAGGCAAGAATTGTCATTTTTTTTGTTCCTCTCAATGATTAGCATAGTGCTCGCAAATAACAACATTCAATATTCATTTTTCCTTAAACTACTCCATTCAACTTCTTTCCTTCATGAAATGCTTCTAGAAAAAGCCTACCTATAAAAAAAAAAAGACATAAAAAAGAAAAAGCCTATCTAGTTCCAGGAATTTAAATTATTCTTAATGATCTATTTCTCCTTTACACTTTCTACCTCCCTAACAATATAACCCTTGTATGACACCCCCCCATAAGAGTAATATACTGCTTCTCACAAGCATTAGATTGTAAAGACACTTAAGAGGATTTATATTTTTCTTATCGTAAATAATTAACATTGACAGGTATTTTTTATGGAAAAAAAATTAGAGGTTTAACTTACCTGTCTCTGCAATGCCTAGCGCTTGATGTCACTAAATGGAAAGTCAATGGCTGCTTTCACAATGCACATGACAATCACCAGAGAGAGATTTTAAAACTACTTTTTTCAATGCCAAGAATTCTTTAAAAAAAAACCAAACCAAACCAAACCAAAACAACTGTAGGAACACTAATCTTACTAGGAGGTGAAAAATAAAGGAACTTACCAAGGATGGATCAAGATAACTCTGTGTAGCTGACCAGGTCTGTGGCGTAATTAAGCTGTACAATGGAAACTGCTGCTGGGGACTGTATACTGGAGGTAAGTAAAACGATGTTGTGTAACGCTGTTGTGTGTAGAGATTCACGTCCAGAGGTCTATATCCATTCTTTGGCAAAAATGTGTTTATAGCAATAGCCTTTGCTTTTATCCGTGCCTTCACAAAAATATTAAATTCCTATTAGGATACTTAATAATAATTTTATATTAAACTAAATGAGGCCAATGTTCCTGATTACCTTTATTGGTTTTCCTTGAAAAATTTTCACTTCTTCTCTCAGGTATCTGTAAGCCTAAGATGAAAACATTCAAAATATCACTTCTTCATTTTTATAAACTACTATAAGTCAATTAGTAGCATAAATAATGACTGGATTACCTAATTTGGAATTGAGGTTACATAATTTGGAAAAGGAAACAAAAGGGAAAGCTAGGATAAATACTAAATCTCATTCATCTTTGTAGGGCTCCTGATTTCATACTACAGCTATCCAAAGTCCTCTGACAAATTTTAAAGATCCCCCTTAATCTGATCATGTCCCAACTAACCAGACTTATTTTTCATTATTCCATAGCAACACTAGTCTAATCTCTTTGGTCTAGTCACTGTCCCACAGACCATAGTCATTTCTACCTCTGTGTGTGTATTTATCCTCTTGCCCTGCTCCACCCTCTGCCTATCTAAATATAATCTTTCTTTAAAATCCTGCTCAATTTAAATTCTTCCATAACCTTTCCTGCCTATTTGTAAACTTTTACAGCATTTATAGGCTCTACCATAACTTAGTATGTGACTATTATAATGCCTTATACATTAGCTGCTTTAATTTGCTATGTTTGTCTTATTTCTCTATATCTTCTTTTGTACACAGCAAAGAATTATCATATTGCAAAGCATAAAATAAGCAATTAAGACCTGTTGCTCAATTCATGAATGAACATTAAGAATTTCCAGCCTATTACATAGTTCAGATAATGATATTACTAGCAACAGGAAAGATATATCTGAGGTAAAATCTAAGTGTAGTTTTAGTGCAATTTAAGTATGTGATAACAAACTTCTTTGGGTTTATTGCTTTTAATATTGTTATTATAAATATTAATTGATATTAAGTTTATTAAAACTTTTTATTTTAAAAAACAAAACCCTTCTCAATTTCCTTTTTGCTCTATATTTACATATATAAAGATACACTGCTCTAGATTAGAGTTCTGCTACTGACTCACAGAACACTAGGTAAATGTATTTATAGTGTATTTTACTTGTAAGGAAAAAATTAGTGCTCACCTGTTGTGCATCAGCTTCCGACTCAAATGTTATAAACCAATTGTCATTATATGCAAACTCACAATTGACGAACTTAGGCAGGTTATCTCCTGTGAAGAGAGCTTCTACTTCCTATACAATGGTGTAAACAAAATAAGTTATAACTTTATGAAGCGTATTCTTTAAAAAAAAAAAAAAAGCTAAGTTGTCCAAATCCTCAAAAAAACCTAGGCCTAAATGTTTATATTTACCATCAACATCACATAGATTAAGTACATATTTTTATGGTATTCTAACCCTGTTCTTTTACTATACAGTATAAATCTTTTGCCCTGAAATTTTCATTACTGACCAATTAGGTTTAAATGCTACTTCAGACAATAAAGAGATTTTACTATGAAATACTTTTAGGAGTTCAGACTTTCTATAGAGAAAAGCTGAATGAATCAATTGGCTAGGCCTTTTATTCAAAACTCTTTCTTTGGTAATGTATAAAGTATTAGAAAAGTAGCTTGAGATGAATAAGACGACACACCAATACCTAGCAGTCCAAGAGTGAATTGGGTTGTGATATTACTTTCATTTTTTTTTTTTTAAGTGAGGCAATCGGGGTTAAATGACTTGCCCAAGGTCACACAACTAGTACTTGTCAAGTGTTTGGTCTGAGGCCGCATTTGAACTCAGGTCCTCCTGACTTCAGGGCCGGTGCCCTATCCACTGCGCCACCTAGCTGCCCCGTGATATTACTTTCTATTAGGGACTCTCATCTCTGTTACTCTCTAACATATTATCCCTGAATCATCTTAACTTTGTGACTACTCTGTTGTATTTCAAAAGTTTTAGTGTAATTTTAAGCTCCTAAAACTTAAGATTTTTGGAATATTCTAAAGTATTACAAATTTCTTCACAGAAAATAGTTTAGTATAAGAAAGGTTTCATTTGGGTGCCATCTGAGGGTGTGTGTGTGTGCACGCACATGTATATGTGCACATGTGTGTAGTTAGTAAAGTATCAAAATGACCTTATTATAAAGCAGTTTCTACCTATTAGGCATACACACATGAAGGACACAAAGAATTCTACTACAATGTAGAAATTTCTATCCTTATTCTAGACAGAATTGAAATCTGCCCCATGCCTCAATTGGGATGATTTCTATACATAAGTAAAATAGTGAAATTTTTATTACAAGAGCTGTTATTCTGTGTTATTAGCATTAATTTTTCAAGTCACTGATGCTAGATTGAGGAAGTATTTTCTTTCTTTCTTTCTTTTTTTAAATATATTGTTTTTTGGTGAGGCAATTGGAGTTAAGTGACTTGCCCAGAGTCACACAGCTAGTGAGTATTATGTGTCTGAGTCTGCATTTGAACTCAGGTCCTCCAGACTCCAAGGCCGGTGCTCTATCCACTGAGCCACCTATCTGCCCCTAAGAAAATATTTTCTTAAGGTAAAAATTTAATCTTTTAAAAAACATATCAGATCTTCACTCCAATTCCAACCTTTTTTTTCCACTTAGATTTACAAGGATTTTATAGTGTTGAAAAAATGTAATAAAAATATTTTAAAATAACATCCTATTTAATATATCCATATGTAACTACCAAGAAAAATGAATTTTGTAATAAAGCTTAAAGGTCAACAAAATGGGATTTTGTTGGACTACTTTAGACAACAAATTCCAAACTGAGCCCTTGTGGAAAATATGCAGTTTCTAGTCTCTTGAAGAAACAAACCCTGGAAGCAGAGCCAGGAATGTAGATTTTAGATGCAAAGGAGGTCACCTTAAAAGATAATATACCATAAATAAACAAGGCTCAAACTATCTAAGACTTTGGATACAGTGACTGACCAGAGAAACTGATTTCCTGAGGAAGAACACCAGTGAAAATAGGTGTATGTTCATTTTTAAGAGAAGATAAGTTGTTTCATTGAAGCGAAGTAGTTGTTTCATTAACACGTTTAACAAAAACTCTCCAGCATGTTTAGTGACCAAAGAGCACTTAAGTACCTATCCATTCTATTTCTGTAATACTAAAAAATATAAATTGTCCCCTTAGTCAATTAGGAAAACATTGTAGCAGTGCAAAAGCAATGGACTACAGGTCTAAACACTTTCTTCCTTCAACATTACTTTTTTTATAAGCCTAATATATATAATATTTATTTATATTATATATTTATAATAATATAATTTATGCCTTTCTAATATAATTTATATATTATATAATTGTAATTGTTATGTTTATTATTGCATGATATAGATTACATTATATACCTGTGTTTTATATATATATATATATATATGTATATATGTATGTATATAAGAATGCATGTATGCATGGAAGTATTGTGTGTGTATACACACACACACACACACACACACACACACATTTATAAACCTAAATAAATACCTCGTAATTCTTGAGTTCATTATTTAGATTTGGAGAGTTTTTTTTAGTTCAACCCTCACTTTAGAGATGAGAAAGCTGAGGCCCAGGGAGGAGGCAAGTAATTTGGCCAACAACTTTTAAGAATTCAAAAAAACAGTGAGTCTTTGAGTTAGATTTTATAATACCTCCAATTTTTCATTAAACATAAAAACCCAAAACAAAACCTCCCATATTTTCAAAGTATACTTGACAGTTCAACCCAGAAGATAAATTCCTTACTTCTATAGGAGTAGTTTCAGGTATTTCACGCAATATAACAATGCAGCGATTCTGATTTGGCCTGACCTTTTCTCCATTCTCATCCACTTGGACTAAAGGTAATGCTACACAGAAGAAAAATATGCAGTGATGCAATTTTAAAAGTTAACACCAAAATAAACAGATTACTTAGACCAATATATTAAAAGCTTCATAATTCACAAACAAATGACAGTCCTTGCATAGAACTTTTGTTACTAAATAAGCTATAAATAGTACATATTGAACTTACAAATAATCTTAGTCATAGCTATACAACATTTCAAGCAAACTATACTATTCACAACTAAACCCTAAAAAAGTATACCAGCCAGATTAACAACTGTCAGAAACGGTTGTTAAAAATCACCCTGGTACCACACTAATTTTTTCAGCTGTTCTTAGATAGTAAAAGTTTAAGATGTAGTTTTGAAAAATTAAGTTTAACAAGCATCCTAATAAATAGCACTATGAAACACTAAATTTTCTATGAAAACAGACTAAGTCCAAAAGGCACTCAAAAGCACAATACAAATAGATGCCTCATTTTGTAGTCTTTATGTGAATAGGAATTATTGAGCTATCAATTCTGAAACTGATTTATCTTTAATGAAACAAATTGTGTTACATGATATTTAATCTAGCTAGAGAAACTCCAATAATGAGCTTTTACAGTCTTATTCTGATTTTATAATACTGTAGAAGCAGCAGGACTGGAGAAAGACAAAAGAACACAAATTTTTAGTTTAAAACTAGATATACAAATAATTTATAAAAGTTGTTAATCCATGCACAATCTTTCAGCTTTCCCTTTTTTTGAAAAAGGCATTTTTATCATTATTAAAACTATCATATGTATATATCAGTAACTGCAAGATGTGCTTTCATGTACCTGTGGTAACAGAAAACATTCTCATGGACCAGAAATGTATTTTAGACAACTGAAACATTTCAGCATCCATACCTCATATATTATTAAAGGCTATGCTCAAAAAAAGTTAAAAATAAAAAGAAAGTTATCTGTTAAAAACACCTACAAGGTACTGTGTTAGGGACTACAGGGGATTAGACTCTTCTCCTTACCTAGTCTAACTGACCTACTTAATCCCTTAATTCCATCTTTTCCCTGATTCATTTGGCAGCTTGCCCACACAATCTTCCTGCCTCACATAACAAACCACTGTCTCAGGATCTACTGCCTCATTCCCTGCTATCTACAAACAAACATGCTCAGGTCCTCCAATTTCTTTTATATCTACCTTCCCCTACACAGCCAAATTCCTAGAAAAAAGCTATTTACACTCACTGCCCCCCTTTCCTTTCTTTTCACACTTCAACTTCTTGAAATATGGCTTTCAACCCTATTACTCAAATGAAACTGTTTGTCCAACATTACTAATGACTTATCAATTTCTAAGCTAAATGGTGCTCCTCATTTGTTTTTCTGGAACCACTGACTATATTCCTATCAGAGATATCTTTCTTCTCCAGGTTTTTATGATACTGTTTTCCCATGGCTCTCTTTCTGTCTGACCATCCTTCTCAGCCCCCTTTTCTGGATCTTCATCCATACCTCACTTCCTAATTGCATCCATACCACAAGGAACTGTCCCATTACCCTATCCTCTCTTGATGACCTCATCAGCTTCCACAGATTAAATTTTCACTTTTCTACAGATAGCTCCCAGATCTATGTACCTAGCCCTAGTTTCTCTCCTCAGTTCCAGACCAACATCACCAACTACCTACTAGACATTTCAACATGGATATCCTGTAGGTATGTGAAATATCATGTCCAAAAGAGAACTCAGTAATCTGTCCACCTAAACTGCACCCTTATTCTGAACTTTGCAATTTCATTAGAGGGTACCACAATCCTTCCAGTGACCTAAGTTTGAAACCCTGAAGTCACTTCAACTCACCTACTGTCACCACACTTATCCAATCAATTATCTAGTTTTATTGCATCTACCTCCACAGCATCTCTTCCATTCTCTCTACTCACATGGATGCTTCCTCTTCCCCTCTGCTCACCTTCCTCCCTGGTTGAAGCCTTTATTACCTTTAACCCGGACTACTGCAGTAACTCATTTATTGGTCTCTTTGCCTCAGTCTCCTGCTTCTCCAACTGATTTTCCACAGTGGCTGAAGTGATATTAGTAAAGCACAAATTTGAACATGCCATTTCCTGCTTAATAAACTCCAATGGCTCCACACCATCTCTACTATCAAATGCAAACTCTTGTTTGGCATTTAGAATCCCTTACAACCTGACTCTGTACCACCTTTCCCAGCTAATAATATGCCATTACTTCCATTCTTTGGTCTAGGAAACTTGTCTATCAATATTTCTTCCATTCCCTCCTCTACCCTTTTGCAAGACTGTTTCCCATGTCTGGAATCTACTCCTTCCTTTTTACCTCTGCTATGAGATCACATTGGCTGCTGATGTCTCCTCTCTACCTCCACCTAAATTACTTTGTATTTGTTTTATCTGTCTCTATAAATGAACATACTGTCACTCTCAACAGAAAAGAATCTCACGGATCGCAGGGCCTGTTTCATTTTTGCTATGCTCATGATCACAGATACATCTAGAGCTGGAAGGAACATCAGAAGTCACTTTATAGACAGGAAACAAGGGTCCAGAGGGGTCAAATCATTTGAATGAGGTCACACTGTAAAAAGAAGACTGAGCTGGGACTGGATTCAAGGTCAAAAGGGTCTATGGTTATCTTTTCAAGGTCTTTCTGCCCCCGGTGCCTGACATACAGTAAGCATTTAATAAATATTTCTTAACTGACACAAAGAAGCTGAAGACTATTCTCAAGAGACTCAGAACAACATGGTTGCATTCATTATTCAAAAGTAGAACACAAATATCCCATTGCTTTGCTTACTTTGAATATCTGAAAGGGAATAGAGATTACCTTTAAGCAATCTGAACATTTACTATCATAATTTGACATCTACAGTAAGGATTGTAGAAACCTATGCTAAGCTAAAGTTACTTGGACTCTGCTCAATCATTTTATTGCTTTGAGTATGTATTAGCCAGTCATAGCATTTAATAATTCCTTCCCCAAAACCCCTGGTTTGATAAAATCATGTAAAAGTTAATTCAGGAATGAAAGAAATAAACCTAATGTTAAGAGTGCCTTTAATTAATTTCCCACTAACTATGGTATTTTATTTCATGTATTGGTTAGCTAATAAACACCATTTTATTTAAAAATAGGTTTTATTTAAGAAAATAATTACTTTTCTGGTTCTATTAAACTGCATTTTTAGCTTCTGATTATTAATTAAATTAGCACTAAGTTAGCACATATAAAGTATATGGCACCAAAATATGAAAATATAGAATAAAGGAGTTAAACATTTGCCTTTAAGGGCCTTAAAATCTACTAAAATAATGATATGACACAGATTAAAGATTCACATAGAAATACTGACAACCAAAACATACCAAGTACTATCTTGAAATACTCAAGATTTTTTTTTTAAAACTACAAATGTTTTACTGGTGCATAATGGATAGGATCACATACATTATTTATTTCAAAAGATCTTTCACTTACATCGAAGAACTTCAACAATTAAATCCAAATCAGTACTGAGTTTCTTGATATGGTCGAGGTTAGCTACTGTTGTTATTGGCACATACTGATCACTATCCATCTGTGATATAAGATACATGTCACTTGCAAGATTCTCTCTGTTTAAAAAAAGGGGGGGGGAGGTAGTTTATGAATCAATATTAAACAATCAAATCAAAGTGTATTACTTCTTCAGATATAGGCAGGAATAAATCCACACATGTCTCACTGTATATGATATATTCCTTATAAGTTGCACGTAAAACAAATTTTATACATTGAATTATTCTTCAAAAACTAGACATGAATCTATAACTGAAGTCCTAAAATTCAATGATTTCATCTTGGAACTGAGGTAGCTCTGTGATCTCCAAAATGGTGTAAGTAGACTCCAAATTCTAAGAAGCTATACTTATACTAGATAAAGGGTAGACTGTATTATGCAAGAACTAGCCTTAATTACCTCAATAAGGCTTCTTACCAAAAATGAGCCACCAAGAGATAAAACTTTTTGGCCACAGCAACCTACACAATTATTTATTGGGGTGTGGATGAACTACAATTTGTGAAAAATACAGCATATAAATAAGCATTTGTAGTTTTTAAAAATTTGTTTTTTCATATAAGTTGTTATAAGTCCCTTCTAAGAGTTTTATTTTTAATTTAAGTCTGTTTTTAAAGTGAGATACACTTATTTAACAAATTTGCTGCAGAAATCTATTTAAATAACAGTTTTCAAGAATTATAATAGTTCTTGTGAGTGACTTTTCCCTTTAGCAAGTTGTTATCCAATAAGTCGAAGAGAATCTTATAGCTTGAAGGGACTTCGGACACTTTCTAACTGAATCTCATTTTAGAGCTGAAAAATTAATAGTAACAACCATACCACCATCACAACAATAATAATATTATCAACTAATTTCTGCATAGACTCTACACTGTAGAAAATGACTGCTCTTCCATTTCTGACCAGTCACCTCTAATACATATACTTTTGGAAACAAGGCTGTCATAAAAGTAGAAGGCTGGTTTAGTATAAATATATCATTACAAAAATGCAAAGCACAGTCTATTTGACAGTGGGAGAGTAAATAAGAGATATTATACAATTCAACCTTTCCACTTACCTTTCACTGTTCCAGAAAGAACCCATTTGCTTTTTTAGAGAACAAAAAATGTTACAAAATCTACAGCTATAAAAATGGAATAATTGAGCATTCCAAATGACAGCAGGTATTGGTCTTGTGTTTTGAGATATAATGCAGAATGGGTTCTTAAATTCTCCCATGTTTCATGAAAGGTGAATAGCTACTTAAGATTTCATATTAAAATTTTTGATGTATGTACTCCACCTTTATTCCAGCAAACTCCTGCATGTGGTCATACAACCCTAGTAATATTTTTTTAAATTGACATTAAGTCCCTATAAATCATAATGGGTAGTCTTACCGAGATAAGCAGAATTCCAGTGTTTTTTTAAGCACTTCTCGGGGGTCTTCCTGGACTTCTTCACTTTCTTCTATATATATATATATAAAAAAAAAAAATAACTCAGAAAACAAGAAAAATACGCAACTACTATTATTAAACAAGTACTTTGAAAATGCTTAAAATAACCTTCTGATTTAAAATTAGTACTACTAATCGTTCATGGTAAATTAATACAAATGAAGAATAAAAGTAATTAACTACCCATTTAATATGCAAGCAGTGGGGGGAAGAGGAGGAGGCAGGTAATAAATGTTTTCTCAGTCTTTAAGAGCCCATTTGTTACAGCTGTAGAAAAGGCAATTTATGCTTCAAGAAGAGGTGGACTAGATAACCTCTGAAGTCTATTCCAGCTCCAAAATGCCATGCTTGATGAAATTCTAGTGCATTATTATTCTGTTTTCTAATGAAAGAGAAGTGTAGTTATATGTCGCTTGTCTAATTTATGCACATTGCTTCATTGCAACAAACTTCCCAAAACCATCATAAACACCTTCATTAATACATTCCCTGAATTACATTAGATTAAACTAACTAATGAACCACATCACAGGTACATCAACAGTGAATTAGTTTACCTGTCTTCTCATAGCTCTTTGAACAAAATTTCCCCATCTTTTCTGGTTCAATCAATGGCTGTGAAATGGTATTACACAGTTGTTTTGATTTCGATTTTCCTAGTGATGGTTTTTAAAAAAAATTTTTTTTCATATAACTACCTTAAATAGTCTGATTTTTTTTCCTTTTGACAATTGTTTGCTCATGGCCTTTGATCACCTGCCTACTGAGGAACAGATATTGACTTTATAATCTATAGATTTTGGACATCTGCCTAATCAGATAGTCAATGAAAAGTTTTTTCCTCTCAATTTTCATTTTATCTTACAATTCTAGGGGCAGATGTTTTATTTGTGTAGAACTATCTTAATTTTATGTAATTAAGATTATTTATTTTGTCATTTATGATCTCTTCTAACCTTCTCTGATCACATAATTTCCCTCGATCCATAGGGTATGAGAAAGAATTTTCCATTCTCCTCTACTTTCTTGTGGAACAACTTTTTTCTATATTTAACTCATATAGACTTTATTATGGTAAAGGGGACGAGATGTTGATCTAAATCTATTTTTTTTTTGTTAAGCAGTTTTCTCATTTTTTAACTTCTCCCTTTTCAGCTAGATAATAATATTTTTAGGTTATTCAAATAATAGACTTCTACATGCATTTATTAATAAAGTCTTGGCTTATCTGGTCTATTCACTTATTTATAACAATTCCCACAGTTCTGAATCACTGTTTAGTAATATATTTTAGGGCCTGAAAGCAAGAAGCTCCCTTCATTCTTACTTTTTTCCCGCATTATATCTCTTGATATTTTTGACTTCTTATTGCTCCAAACAAACTTACTATTTTTGCTAATTCTGTGAATTAATCCTTTTTAAACTTCTTATCTTAAGAGGGAATTTATAGAATAATTTGGGTAGTAGTATCATTTTCATAAAATTGGCTAAGCTCAAACCTTAAACAACCTCTGATAATTTAGATAGTCTTAGAATTTTAAGAATTATTCTGTAGGTAAAGTTGTATAAATGCCTTATATAACTTGGTAGGTTAATCCCTAGACATTTAAAGTATTCTGTTATTTCTAAAAGGAATTTCTTCTATTTCTTAGTTTTGTTATTACAGTGAAAAAAGATAAGTGATTCATGTGCATTTACTTTGTATTATGCTACTTTGTTGAAGTCAGTCTCAATTTTCTCTGACTCTCCAAAACTGGGCATACAGGTGGATATATTTGGGCATATAAAAAACAAAACAAAACCATGAGAAATTCTATTTGTTTTAATTTTTTAAAATGAATTAAGTTTTACTAATATTCAACATAAGAAATGACTCTGGCACTTCTACTCAATGCCTATCAAATGGTCATATGTTGCATGAGGGAAAAGGACTTCCATAACCTGGAGGAGTTAACACAAGGACCTTACTTGTAATTTCATATGTGCATGGCTAACTTGCTTTCTACATTACATCATCCAGTTTTAACTAAATACTGTCAAAAATTGACAAGAGTTTAAAAAGAATTTCTATAAAGAGGACTGAAGATGACACCAATAATATAGGTACAAATGAACAACAGAAGAAAACAGCAGAGGTGACATTTCTCCTGTTCCTACTGCAACCTTTTTATTAGCCACTTAAGTTTAAAATATATATATAATGTGTAAAATCAGATCCAACAATGCAAAAATAATTGGCATTATCTAACAGATTATTCGAAATGTGAGTTTATATCCCCTGTTGAAAACAATGAGCTGGTCCCAAAGTGTATATCACACCTTGAAATGTTGGCTACTCATACTATGAAGTCACCATGAACAGTCAGACATTTAAAAACTTTTGTAGCAAAAAAGATGAGTGTCACAAAAAATGCTTATAACTACAAACTTAAAAATTTGCAAAGAAGATTTTATAAGCTGCTTTAAAATCTTCTAAATAAAGAATTTCAGTGGATTTTGAACCTATTTGTTTTTAAAAGCATAAAAATCTAACACCTTATAACAATAAATATAAATAGTAATAAAGAAAAAATTTACCTCTTCTTTGCATGTGCTTGCTCCATTAATTTCTTTTTCTCTTCTTGTTATTTATCGCTTACACTGTGTAATGCAATAGCACCCTTCCTACTTTTCTCTTGATGTTATTCAGAAAGCTTTCAGTGTTTCTGGAATTCTAGCTCTTAAGATACTTTCTGTCACATCAAGGTAAGGTCCTTTTATTCCTATGCTTTTTAGTTCTTTGTGTATTTTGCTGAAGACTTTTAATATTTCTATACTGATATAATGATTTTATGTTTGCAATTTTCCAAATGTTGAACCATTCTTGTAGGCCTAGCAAAAATCTAATCTGATCTTGACCCAGCAATACCAGATCTAGGTCTGTATCTCAAAGAGATCATACAAATGGAAACAGGACCCACATGTACAAAAATATTTACAGCAGCTCTTTCTGTGGTGGCAAAGAATTGGAAATTGAGTGGATGCCCATCACTTGGGGAATGGCTGAACAAATGGTGGTATATGAATGTAATGGAATACTAGTGTGCCCTCAGAAATTACGAACAAGCAGACTTAAGAAAAACCTGCAAAGACTTGAATGAACTGATGCTGAGTGAAGTGAGCAGAACCAGGAGAACATTATACACAGTAACAGCCACAATATGCGATGACTAACTTGGATAGAACTCATCTCTTCTTAGCAATGCAAGGATCCAAGACAACTCCAAAGGACTCATGATGGAAAATGCTGTCCACATTCAGAAAAAGAACTATGGAGTATGGAATGCAGATCAAAGCACACTATTTGCTCTCTCTCTTTTTTTTGTTGTTGTTTTGTTTCTTCCATTGGTTCTAATCCTTCTTTACAACACGACTAAGGTGAAAATAGGTTCAATATGAATGTATATGTAGAGCCTATATCAAATTGCATGCCATCTTGGGGTGGGGCGAGGGCAGAGATGGGGAAAATTCGGAACTCAAAATCTTATGGAAGTGAATGTTGAAAACTAAAAATAAATAAATAAATGAAAATCTAATCTGATCTTAGTGAATGCTTTTCAAATATATTATTGTAGCTTCTGTGCTAGTATTTTTTTTTAATACTTTTACATCACTATAGTAAGTTCAGTAGTGATAATGCTCTTTCTTTCTTCACCTTTTTCTACTTAGTCTTGGTATCAGAATCATCTTTGCTTCATAGAAAATACATAGAACAGTATCATCTTTACTTCTGTAAACACTGTGCTCTAGGTAATTGCTAATACTATATATAGATTGCTGCATTGGCAGGGGGAGTTTTTTCGCTTAAGAAAATTCACTTATATATCCATCCAGGCAAGAATTTATTTCTTTGCCAATTCTTTATGTTTTGGTCAAATTATCTGTGACCAGGTTGTTTTAACTCATTAGTCCCTGTTTTGTTAATACAGGTGATCTTTTTTTTATTTTTGTAGATATTCACCAATTTTATTAGTTTTTCATTTGGGAGGCATATAATTACGCATGGAAGGGTTTTAAATAATCCTTCTCTGTGAATGCAAATTCCCTCTTCTCTTCTTTAAAAAAAATCAAATTAGTTTTTTGTAATCAAATTTATTTTATCTTTTGTAATTTCCTTTATCCCTTCTTTGGTTAACAACACCTCTACTCATAGCTGTGAATGACTTGAAATTCTAATTTTTTCATGCATGATCTTTAATGTTAAGGTCACATATCTACTTACAATGTGTTGCGGTTTTATCAACTAGGAAATTCTTTCCTAAGTAATTTGTGCTTTTTGATTTATCAAACATTGGGTCATTCAGTTCTATTGTTTCTTAACTTCTTTTTTCTGGATTTATTTGATAAAAACTGCCAGGAAAATTAAAAAGTAGCCTGGCAGAAACTAGGCATAAAATAATACCGACCCCATCTTCCACAATATATTTCAAATCAATCATATCACAGAAAAATTAGAAGAGAAGCAGACCATATACCTTTCAGAGCTATGAGTGGATGCATTATTAACCAAACAAGGGATAGAGGTATTTACAAAAGATAAAAACAGAAAACGTTGATTACCTATAACTGAAAACGTTATGCACAAATAAAACTAATGCATCTAGGATAACAAGGTAAGTGGTCAAATAGGAAACCTTTGTATCAAATTTCTACAATAAAGACCTGATATCCAAGAAATACATAAAATTAACAGATATATATTTATATATAAAATAAACCCACCCACACCCACAGACAATCCACACATATTTGGAAGACTAAAAGTCATTTGCCAGTAGCTAAGTGGTGACAGGATATGATAAATGGTAAAAAGATATGAACAATTCTACAAAAAAAAAAAAAGGCAAATTACTAACAACCATCCCAAAAAATGCTCAAAATGACTATTAAGAGAAATGCAAATCAAAACAACTCCACACCTCACACCCAGCAAGTGGCAAAAATGACATAAAATAGGTATTGTTAATATCA